GTAGACTAGTTTAGAATGTAGACTAGGCTGGTTTTTGTAAATCATGGACGTCCTTTGCGAACAAGTTACGAAATACAATCGGCAATTCTGGCCTTAACATGTTGCTCAAAGCTTCGAATGGTAACAATAATAGATTTTGATGGGTCCGTTGCGACAGCTGCAGCCTGGTATTATCATATTGCTGATCATGTGGTCCGGCCCACATGGCTTAAATATGTCGTATTTCTGACATTAGGTTTCTCAATCACTTTACAACACGCAATTGTTAAAGTTAAGTGAGTCAAAAGGCATCGTTGAGACGAAACTTACCACATTTTTGTTCATTTCTTCTGATCTAAGGTGGTCCTCCTCTCTCCTCATATCCTAATTTTATGTACATAATGGATGTAATAAAAAATTGAGTATTGAATATTTCTCATTGCCTGCGCTTTATTTCAAAACTCATCAAAATTCTCATCCTACGACCTATATCGTAAATATTTGATTAATTAACACAAACTTGACCTTGTAACACATCCTAAGCTTTTCGTTAGATCTATTTAACCTGGTGTGGACACAGCACTATACATCAAACATCTTGAATTTGGTGGACTTGCTACCAGCAGAATGTCAAGGTAAAGAGCAATCGGGTTTGGAAACAACATTTTAATATATTTCGCATTATAGTTATGAAATCTGCCGTTGCCAATGACCTCAAGTGATTAAAGATTTTTTACACGTTTTGAATATTTTACAACTCTACCAATATTACCAGATAAGTATCTGCTGCTGATGGTAGAGTTCTTATAAGTATATCTATAGGTACCTAAATCACATTATCTTCTTAACAAAGTGAGAGAGTATTTTTTGTCGGACAATAAAGTGGACCAACACTGAGAACAAGTACAAGAAACTCACGCCCGTATTCACAAACATTACTATGAGGTCTCACAGTGCGCGTGAACGCACAGGGTGACACACGAACCAATCACAGAGCTCTATTCAACGCTGTGCGTTCGATTTGCTGCTCCACTTAAGCAAGCATCGTTTGTGAATGCGGGCGTCAGTCAGAGCATTCACAAACGATGACAATATTTTAATAACCATTAATGCGAGAGTTTGTTATTATGTTGTGTACTTACCTAGTTACAAAAAACTTTTTAATACTGATATCTAAAATATCTCACCTGCATACCAAATACAGTTCCTATTATGCAATTAATACAATAATTTTACAACCAATGTTATTAAAACTCAAACGATTTCTTAACAACCTTATCAAAGATAGGCCATCAAAGAAAGATGTGTAATAGACATTTTACGACGTCTACCAATTACGAGAAATACAATTAAATGTTTTAAAACGGCCTTGTTGAAAGGAATCACACTCAAATTTGGTAATTAATATGGCTATTTCACTATCACTTATTTAGCCTTGGGGAAGACGCAATGATGAAATAAGAGCCCAAATGCCGAGAGAATTGGTAAATCTTGACGAATATTACCGCACATTGTTTATTAAGCTGATAACAATCATTGTAGACACCGCCTTAGCTTCTCGAAATGTAGAGTTGAAGGGGTAATGGACAGACCACATTATTCTCAAAACTGACAAATGTTGGGGAAGAATAAGGCTCTATAGGATCTAGTCAGAGCATACATCCTACTTCCTACTCCTACTATAAATAATAATATTATACGTATATGCGAAAGTTTGGATGTCATGATGTCTGGATGTTTGTTACTCTTTCACGCAAAAACTACGAAATGGATTTTGATGAAACTTTACAGTATTATTGTTTATAACCCAGATTAACATAATATAGGCTATAATTTATGACAATCTGTGACAAACTAAATTTCACGCGGGTGAAGCCGCGGGCAATAGAGTTTTAGAAATGCCACATTTCTGCGACATTTTATGGAGAAAGCTTAAGTCTAGTTTCGTTGCGGCTCCAATGACAGTTAACTTTCCCCCGGGACGAAATTGACCTTCACTGGTTGGGTTTTTATTGGCGGTCAAGTTGTAGATCCTAGCTACACAGGAGTTGCAGCGGTGGGAACGAGAGGTGTGAATAGTCCCGTTTATATGTCTAGTTGTGGACTTCTATCTAATCCACAGTGTTACAGATCACACAGTGTTCTTTATTCTATTTAGGGTACTTTTTTACAAAAACCACAAAGGTAGGTAAGTTTTGTAGTTCACGCCATAAACTTGTCAGTCTTGCAAATGAATGGTATCGAGCTTTATTTGTTTAAAATTGCCAAAAAGTTCTAAAGTGTGTATTGTTAGATTAAAGACATTTCCCATACATAAAACTCCACTCTAGTAACCTTGGTGTGGTTGCTAACAAAATGTGATGTCACGTTTTGTTGTAACTGTATTTCTCACAATTAAAACACAAAATCAGTATTAAGAGGCATTAAAAGCCTTGTAGTCAACACGCAGTTCAACTGATGCAGTTTGTACTGTTTGTCGTAAACACGCAACGTTTATTTGCTATGATGATGTTTTTATTGTATGATATTGTGATAAGTATGTCATTATTACCTAGTTACCGCATCTCGTGAGCTATTGTTGTTAATTGCGCGAATATTAATGTAACAACGAACGTCCACATTTATAATAGGAATGGTCCTAATCACAGGTCCTAACCATCACGCCAAGTACGAGTACTTTAACTCAAGTCCTTACCGGTCACGGCTATCACCGGCAATACTTACACCGATTCAAGATAGTCGCGACTAGAGATGTGCCGCTGAGAAAGTTCTCGTTCCCGGCAATATTCCCAGTGAGAATATTCTCGAGAACCGAGAACGCTCCCGGGAATATTCTCAGTGTTCTCGACAGAATGCATTTAGTTTTAATTTTAATTTTGTTGTTTATATGTGATATTATCTGTAATGAAAATATCGTAAAGCTTCCCAAAGGCTGCCCAGCCGAGCTGGATTCGATGATTGACTTTTTTTTCGAAGTTGGACCTACCTAACTGGACTGTTTGTCCCAGGTATACATTATTGTCAACAACCTCGAGTGTAGAGTCTCCAACTTATAGAGGAGTGGGTGCAACACGGTCTTTAGACATGATTTTTAAATCTTGTCCATGTTCATTTTGAGACCCACTTGTTAAGAGACTGTTGAGGCCATCGAGCATTGTGCCTAGATCTTCCACGATCTCAGCCATGACTACGATATCGTCTGATGCCTGGGTGATGTACTCGCCGTTGATATTTATGCTGAATCCGCTCCAACCGTCTCCCTGTCTCACCCNGCCCATGTGGGTCTCGAAGGGAATGAAGCAGCAGACGAAGCTGCGAAAAGTGCTGCAACTTCTCACCAATCACTCGACTTCGCGAAATTCCCAATCAGCCATGTCAAACGACTCTCACGCGAAGCTAATAGGCTTTGTAGCGAAGAACGTTACACTTCTTCTACTACAGGAGTGCGCACTAGAACTTGGCTTCCAAGCCTGGACAGTGTAACAAAACTATATGCAATAGTGAAACAATCGTTCCACTTAACTCAAGTCCTTACCGGTCACGGCTATCACCGGCAATACTTACACCGGTTCAAAATAGTCGCGACCGATAAGTGCAATTGTGACCCCAATACTGTCCAGGACATTGACCAACTCCTTAAAGTATGCCCAAGATATGCCCGGCAAAGGGAGACACACATAGCCTTGTGTAACCATTTAGATGTGTCTCCATTTGACATACCTGAAATGACAACCAGGGAATTAGCTATTAAGTCTTTCGTGGAATATTGTAAATACATTGTAAATAGTCTGAAGGAATATAATGGTACTTAGTTAATAATAAGTTAATATGAAAGGGAAAAAGAAAAAAAAATTAAAACGGAAAAAAAAATACATATAAAAAAAACAAAAAAAATACATATATAACATTAAAAACAAAAAAAAATATAAACACAAAAATGTATAAAAAAATAAACATTGTATATAACTATCATCATCATCATCATTTTTGTAAATATTATTGACTCACGTTACTTTTACAGTTTGCTCGTACAAAATAGCGAGAAACTATTCCACTCTCTCTCAAAAAAAAAAAACCTATTTAAGAAAGTCAACATCTACATTTATCTCTAATTATCTGGTAATAAACTACCAGACTAAAAAAATAAAAATAAACGGTAGTTATTTGCTATAAATCTAGTAATTAATAAATAAGTTTAATTATCTTTAATACATACGTAAACATTTGTACTCAGCTAGATTCGAACCCGCAACCATTGTCGGCGTTGTGTGGTTAACCTTATATTCTTTTGGTGAAAACCACATGGCAACACTTATAGGTATCACTGATCATTTTCCATTACCTATTCCAAACAAACGCAAAACAGAATGAACGTTGATAGAAAATAGGTAATTTTAATAATAGTGTAGGAACATCCTGTTCTAATAATATAGAATAGTGTTAATAGCTAGGCTAACTTGCTAACCATGTAAAAGCCATTGTGTCCCATACATTTCTCGGTCGGGCGAGCTCATTGTCGACGACATGCAAATATCGTATCATTTGAATGGGCGTGTATGAGCAAAGTGAATGATGTCTATTGAATTAGCTTTGCACGATGTAGTGCGTGAAAGGGTTTTATCAATTAGGACATCTACTCGTATTTAAAGGCTCCTGTGATAGGCATTATTGGAAGACCTTAATTAAAGATACGAATATAAGACAACAAACAAAACTGTCTTTATAATTCATTATAATGAACGAAAATGTTGTCTATTTATTGACATGTTTGTTGAAGACTTTGGTTTGACTCCTGACAAAGTTAGCGAAATATGTTATATTGCAAAACAAATAAAAACTCTCAGAGTGGATGTTAAGTAGGAAAAGGTCCATATTTAAAAAATGTAAGCATATTCTTCCGTTACCGTTATCTCAGGCATGGTCGCAACAGCATTGCAACACCCCCATTGTTTCTGAACCTTATCTTTATTTAAACAAATTCTGTATTAATAATCAATAATCTCAGACAATTTTTGTTCCAGATGGATTCAGACCCTTATCTTACGATACTATATTCAACAATACAAACTATGCTCAACTACAGCATAATTCAAGGCCATATAGCTTACCAGTACCACCAGTTTCCAAAGTAGACCGTAAGAACCACACCTATAGCTTAGAAGAAGACTCTAGAGGGAACGAATTAGAGATCGACTATGATTTTAGCGAAAAAGATGAGGGAGGACCTCTCCTGGTGGGATATGCAAGAGATCCTTTCAGATATTCGATACCGGAGAAGGACTTTTTGAGAGGTGTTAGGTAAGTTTTTAAACTTGTTAATAATACATACTTAGTTTTTAAACTTGTTAATAATACCTACATACTTATTTGCGTTTGATAATCTTATTCTAATATTGTATAGTCAGCACTTTTTAAACAGATACCTAAGATACAGGCAATAAATTTTGCTTAGTTTAGGTATCATTAATTACTTTCGCACACTAACCTTAATTTTATTGAAACCAAACTTGTACGTGTTTAGGCTAAGTTTTTATTTATACAGTAATAAATTTATTCTTATTCTTATAGACTTCTAGGTAGAAGAACACTCGTGACGGATTCAATTTCGTAATTGCTTCTTCTATTTTTGTACAAAATCACTTCGTCACTTGAAGATACCATAAGACATTGAATTTGTCACGAATGTTACTGTGTCCACTACTACATTCACATTTCAAGCCTTATCCTCCCTCAAGCATTAAAGTCCAAATTGTTTGGATAATAAATCTTAAATACCACAATCTTACAAAAGGTCGTTTCATCTACGAAGACGCGCCCCACCAATTTGAGTTTCCAAGCGTCATTATTGTAGGATAATTTAGCGTATACCGATAACACTCCAACATTAGCGGAAGAATGGTGGGGCGCGTCTTCGTGGATAAAACGATCTATGTATACACTACATTTTTATTAAAGTCTTATCCTGAGACCTCAATCATTAAGTCCAAATAGTTTGCTAATAAATCGTAAATACCACAGTCTTACAACCTTAATTATTTTGCAAACAAGTCATTACCACCGATGGTAATAACTATAACCTTGGTTCCTTCACAGATACATGAGTCCCCAAACCATATCCTCGTCCTCTGGCTCCGAGAACAGAGGCAAGCGAGGGGTGCTGGAGCTGTACAACATGATCTACTGCGCCACCGGCTGCGAGCCCCTGGCCTACAAGGGCTACGGCTGCTACTGCGGCTTCCTGGGCTCGGGCCGGCCCACTGATGGGATCGACAGGTAGCTAGAGTCCACCTTCATAGGTACACGAGTCCCCAGACCATATCTATCCTCGTCCTCTAGCTCCGAAACTTTCAAAATGCACTTTTTCAAGTAAAAAAAGTCAATGTAACTGGAGCAGGTATAAAATCTTGTTAAAAGAATAGAGTTTGTTTCAAGCTGCCAGAAACACACGCGGGTCTCTTCAATTAAGAATTTTCAATTCTCCCCGCCGTCACCACACGGCCCATTGTGCATTGACTTGGTTTAATTTCTTCCGGGCCTTTTCAAGGCGAGAACTAATAGGCACTTACAGGGCAGATATGCACCATCCTAGACTGCATCTCACTTAACATCAGGTGCGATTGTGGTCAAATGCCTTGTCATGCAGAAAAAAAATACGTGACTTCATTGAAACATTACTTAATCAGGATTTCTTTTTTACTTCAACAGATGCTGCAAGCAGCACGACCGCTGCTACGAGAACATGTTCTGCCCAGTCTTCTCGGTCTACTTCCAGCCTTACTACTGGAAGTGCTACCACGGGGAACCTCTCTGCGCCTTAGAGAACTATGAGAGCCAGCACGGCTTCATAAACGCGTGCGCAGCGCGACTGTGCGAGTGCGACAGAGAATTTGCTATGTGCGTGCGCCGATACGCTTGTCCAAGGAAGCGGGCGTTGTGTAGATCCTCACCTTTGAGGCTGCTACAGAACCTGCTTATGTTTAGGTGACAGTGTTTAAAGTAGGTAGCAGTTTTTCAAAATCGAAAAAGGAACATGAGGATGCTTGCTATCGATTTGTCGTGTGGCAAAAGTAATAAGAGTCAAATCAAATCCTACTGGTAAATATGCCAATATCATTAGCATATTATTATCTACTAGGACTTTAGCTCTCCACCTTAGTACTTAAGTACTTAATGTGTAAGTATTTGTAAAGTAAAGCAATTCGTTCAAATAGAGTGGAAGTGGTAGGTAACTGCCACTATTTTTAACCAACGTGACGTTACACTGATAAGGTAAGGACACTACTACGGCCGGTTCACACATGTCTCCGTTTTACTGTTCCGTTTTATCGTGTACGTTTTTTTTCGTCGATGGCGTATGTAGTTGTATGAGCGACTTCACACATGACACAGTATTCTGTATACAGTGATAGGTACATACATCGACGAAAAAAAACGTACACGATAAAACGGAACATAGTAATACGGAGACATGTGTGAACCGGCCGTTAATCCTAAATTGATTACGCCTATTTGTCTGTTTTGTCGGGTTAGTCCCAACGGCCCCGGTGGATCTGCCCCGTCAACGGGGTGGATGGGAAAAAGTGTTTCAACGACCCCGGTAGTCATAGTCTTAGCTATACTCTATAGCTATGACTACCGGGGTCGTTGAAACACCTTTTCCCATCCACCCCGTTGACGGGGCAGATCCACCGGGGTCGTTGGGACTAACCCGTTTTGTCTAAATGCCACGCGACAACCGAAAGTTTAGTATAAAAATAAGGGCTCATTAACTACTTGCGCCGGCGCTGACGAACTGTGATATTTAAATTGTTTCGTGAGAAACTTATCAGCTCGGAACAAGTAGGCCTAGTGTAAACTACGTAAATAAATTAGACCCTATTCCCATTCCATAAGGTCTAAAAAGTAAAGGAATTTCCAACTTTTGGGTCTTACGTAACTGACCACGCAATAAGATTTTTACATTAAGTAACCAAAACCAATGTAAATATCATTTAAGTCATTTAAGTTACAAATAAAGTACTTTTATGTGTTACGTATTTTTGTTGTGCGAACCTACATGCGAAGGGAATCAAGCTTTTATATAAACGTACTCGTGCTCTAGCAGGTCACCCTACCTTCAGAACCATAGAGCCTATCTGGCAAATAGTAGTATTGATTATGAAAATCAATACACTTTGAAATTTGTAACTGTCTACCTTCATAAACCTGATGCCTACCACTTTACTTATCAGACTAAACAGCCAAATATCTTCGTATCCCAAAATTCATTTTCTCGATAAGCTTACAAAACCTTCGTATATTGTTTAGTAAGGATTTGGGCCGCCCATTCAGTCAGTTGGACTGGAAAGATGCTTGTCGATGATAGAGATACAAAATTTCGAAACAATGACTATGGCGTAGCATTTAGGTCTTTGTTTCTCGACTGAGATGATGACCAAGAGTGAGTTCGTCTATTTTCAATAAAATACGACGAAATTTTGTTCTTAGGCAGTACTAAAGAGTAAGCAGGCGACAGAGGCCCTAACAGTACGTAGTCCTAACAATAAGAACGCGCGGGGCTAAAATTGGTTGAAAAAGGGAAGAATTGGTCTAAAAATAAGGAAAGAGAGCTTTTGACGCGACTGGAATGGCTGCCGAAGATATATATGATAGACATAATGTTCCGTAAACGAACTAAAGTCGCTGACATAGCCCAACGGATTAGCAAGCTGAAGTGGTAATGGGCAGAGCACATAGTAGGTACGCGGAACTGACGGCCGATGGAGCAGCAAGGTTCTGGAATGGAGGCCGCATACCAGAAAACGCAGCGTGGGACGTCGACCTACAAGGTGGACCGACGACATCGTAAAGGTAGCAGGGAAGCGCTGGCCGCAGGCCGCTACCAATCGATCAACATGGAAAGCATTGGGGGAGGCCTATATTCAGCAGTGGACGTCCTATGGCTGAAATGATGATGATGAATGTTGTGTCGAACTTAACTTATTTACGATTTTAAAACAAAAGTGTATCAACTGATAAAGGGTTACCTATGATCGTTAACCGTTAGGTTATAGTCCAGTCAATAAAGCATTATAGATGGAAAACTGTAGAACACAATTTCTGACTTCAGGACTTTATTTAGCCTAGTTAGGAGGTGAACATAGCAAAAGTCCCCGCCCTTAGCCCTTGAGCCGGCGGGGAGAGGGGGGTTTAAAGGTGCCACTTTTCGGTTTTTCGCTTAATCCTCGGAAACTATGCGTCCTAGTGACATGACTACTTTGAACCAAAAAAAGCATATTCAATTTGCTACAGATGAGATGGACAAGTTTTTCTATAAATTGTATAGTTTTCGCGGCATCTGCTCTAGAAGGTCTGTNAGATGCCGCAAAAACTATACAAGATATAGAAAAACTTGACTGTCTCACCTGTAGCAAATTGAATAAGCTTTTTTTGGTTCATAGTAGTCATGTCACTAGGACGCATAGTTTCCGAGGATTAAGCGAAAAACCGAAAAGTGGTACCTTTAAACCCCCCTCTCCCCGCCGGCTCAAGGGCTAAGGGCGGGGACTTTTGCTACGTTCACCACCTAACTAGGCTAAATAAAGTCCCGAGGTCAGAAATTGTGTTCCACGGATTTCTCTCTACACCGTCGTTAAGGCATTCATTGACTGGACTATTAGGTTAGTTGCCTTTAGGTATATAGGTAGGTACCTAAAGGCAATATCCGCATATTAGGCATTATCTAAACGACGGATTAAGGTTCCTAACTTAAGCCTATTGTTCTTAAACGCACAATACAAGTAAGTTATTAAGTTGCATTCTTAGACGTAAACGACGCACTAGACCGCGTCGCCATTACGGGCTACGGCGCGTGCGCACATGGAGATCAGCTGTTTTATAATGATACCATCTTTATTCTATTTCATCCGCAATATCATAAAATATTCGAAAGTAACTCCATCTGACTGTTTACCGTTTTTCTGTCTTATCTGTTACCTTTTCAGGCTTATACCACTGAATTAATTTAAATGAAAGAAAGGTATAAGAGTTGTGGCCCAAGAAAATATAAAAATACGTTTGCGAAAAGGAAAACCGAGATGCACATAAACCTACACTACACGTTACACATGTTTAATTGTGTTAAAATTAAGATTAGAAATTACTTTAGCACGGTGTAATTTAAACTTAGTTACCTACCTACTTTTAATCATTTTACTCTGAAGAAAATAGGCACTCGCTATCCATCATAACTAGTATTGAAAACAGTAGGTTTCCTACCTCTCCATTTCTGACTCTACGAGTATCATTTAATTGTTATACCAGATGCGTACCATTTCATTCGTTCGTTCGTTTCAGCCGAAAGACGTCCACTGCTGGACAAAGGCCTCCCCCAAGGATTTCCACAAAGACCGGTCCTGCGCCGCTCGCATCCAGGCACCTCCCGTGACCCTCGCCAGATGTACCAGTACTAATAAATAAATGAAATATTTCTTTACATTTTCTAATAATTCAATCCTTCTCACTGTTTTTGGAGTGCATAATATGCCTACTGTCTCTACCTTTTTTATTTTATATCATTACATAAGGTCGATAATTGCTCGCATGACTGGCAGTCGAGGTAAAGTTATCATTTAATCTTCATAACCATTGTTCACACCGTTTTAGATCTTATTGTGCCTGTCGCACGATATGACCTCTAGGTCTAGCAATTAGACAATCTCTTTCATCAAGAGAGTTCACATAGAATAACAAGTGCAAAACAACATAACAGCGTTATTATCATTCATCATCTTTGTTAAATACACACCTCCGCGGTATGAGTAGGTACAATACTCCTACCTAGGTCAAACTCGAGATCGCGAGATCAAGCGAGAAGCTCAAGACCGAACGAGATGGAGGACTGTTGTGGACGCCCTCTGCCCCATCTAGGGGACATAGGACCATAAGTCAATTAAGTCAAGGTCATACTCAGGTTTATAGGGTGGTGGATGGCCTGTCATCTGGATTAGATCACCCAGGTAATCAAAGTGAACTTCAGGCGACACTTTGGTGTCATTGGATGAGACCTATGGATAAGATCACCTAGGTAATCAAAGTGGACTTCTTATCCATGGGTGATCAAAGTGTCGCCTGGAGTCGACTTTGATCACCTGGGTGATCTAATCTAGGTAGGTAATCACAGTGGAATAAGTACGGGAGATACAAGTAAAACTAAAACTCTTCTAAAGAATATTTCGCGCTTTTCTGCAAGTAGTCCGAAACTGTAAGCAGAATTTTTCTCTGTCGCTATTATTTTAAATTACAAACATTTCTATTTTTATTTCTAAGTATTAATACAATAGAAGATCGAAGATTGTTTTCGGGCAGATTACTAGATATCATTTATAATTACACGCATTTTAATTGATTTGTTCGATTGATTGAGACTCATGTAACCATGTAGGTATCATCCGTCAGTCTTGGGTCGCAAGGGGTAGTAGTACCACTTCTAAATTCCAACCCAGAAGCAATATCCATAGTATCAGAGTAAGAACATTGCAATAATTAATTAAACCTTATCATTAATTAATATAGTACTAAGGTCCGTTATTGGATGAATTTCAACGTTAGACCAACAATAGGACAGAATCTTATTGATACCACTAAAAGCCTAGGCGCAGACCATCGACTTTTAATTGACCGATAGTTGGGCCCGATTCTAATTTATATGAAGAATCGGCCGATACCAAATCGGTGTAATGTGCGCACTTTCATACATCTCCATACTGATTAACAGCCCGACTCAACTATCGGCCAACTAAAATCGATGGTCTGCGCCTAGACTTAAGTAGCTAATAACGTTCTTTAAACTGGGAACTCATCTGTAAAACCAATTTCACCAATTCCTGTAGGCCTATTGCGCGCCACGATAAATTGTTACCACGGCAATTTATCGCTTTTGCACGATAAGCCCATACATTTGTCGTTTAAAATAGTCGATAACATTTTATCATGGCGCGCATCCTAGCTCGGCTAATATATGACCTAAAATCTGACATTTAAAAGTAAGGCTAAAAAGTAACTGGTTTCCGGCGAATCCGTTTCTTTCTGTGAAACCGAAAGTTGAAGTCATCTGTCTAGTTCCTTGTAACGCTATCAGGCACTTTTATCAGCAAGTTTTATTTGTTAATCTTTTCAGATGATGTACCGGTACCTGTTTATCTTGCTATTTATCGCATTCCTGTTGAACGAAACCGATGGCAGGTCCAAGGTGAAATGCGGCCGCTCTAGACGATCGGACAAGAAAAATACCATCTGGTGTGCCTGGCC